ATATATATATATTTTTTTTTTTTAAATCGAGGCTGGCAGAAAACTGTCTCCCAAACCCGCTTCTCCTCTAATCCCACGTCTGAACCAGAGTTTATTATAAATAATAGAGACACTTGGTGATGCTGATGGTGAGTCAGGCACAGGACCCAGGTGGGGACGGAGGTCACAGACCCACACGAATGCTGTTAAACGGAACAATCAAAACGCTCCCTGCGTGGTTCGTTACAAGTTCGGCTTTGGGCCGGCTGCAGAGGCACAGGCTCGGGGCGGGGCGCCCCACCTGGCGGGGGTGGGGGGGTGGAGACGGAGGAAGGGCAATTTCGCACGGGGCACCCACCTCCCCAGCCCGGGGCCCCCTCCTCGCCCGAGCCCGCTGCCTGGCAAGAGCCCCCTCCGCAGGGCCCCTGCGGCCTCGGGTCCCCGGGCCCTCACCTGCCGGCCCGATGTACTTGATCACCCCCTGCGTCTTGAACACCTCGCGGGCGGCCAGCAGCGCATCCTCCCGGTGCGCCGTGTAGAAGTCGCCGCGGTCGAAGAGGCGCACCGTGGTGCTCGGCTTCTCCGGCATGCCCTGGAAGAAGCGCACGAAGGCGTACTCGGCCACGCTCTCCAGCTGCAGCGTCTCCCTCGGCTGCACCGCCATGTCGCAAGCTCTCCCCACACAGCCCGGCGGAGGAACGGCGCGACCCCACACCCGCAGAGCGGTTTCCCGCCTCCCCTCCCTCTCGCCCCCGCGCAGCGTCCGGCCTCTGCAGCCCGACCAATCAGCATCCGGCGCTGCGCCTCGGTGGGTGGGAGCCCGCTGCCGCAGCCAATCACAAGCGGACGCTGCTCAGCTTCCCGCGCGCACGCAGGTGACTGCCTACTGCGCCTGCGTGAGTGAGCCTAGGTCGCCTGCTGGCCCTGCAGGCGCCCAACCTGAAGATAGTCTTGTTCTCCCCGGTTTTTTTTTGTCGACTCTTAAGGGCTAGGATCTCGAAGGGTGGCCGGCACCCACGTGGAATTTACTGGCAGGCTTTGCGTCTTTTTACGTACCCGGTAGCATGGAAGTGGAACCAGAAAGAAACTTGAAAACAAGGAAAAACTGGTCTTCTCCATACCCAGTAGTGTTTTTGTTTTTTTTAAACTTGCTTCCTTCTCCCCCAACTGCCTCCCTTCCCCTTTTTTAAGTAAACCGTCAACATCAAGATTACAAATCTAAAGCCCTGGCCTGATAGGTAGCTCAGTAGTTTAGAGCGCCCCCCCACCCCCATATGTCAAGGTTGAGGGTTTGATCCCCAAGAGGCAACCAATGAATGCAAAACTTAAGTGGAACAACAAAAATGGATGTTTCTCTCTCTTTCTCCCTGACTTTCTCTAAAATCAATAAATAATAAAAAGATTACAGTTCACTCTCCACAGCCTTCTTATTGCTTCATACTAGTCATTTAGTTTACTCCTTGGTTGATTCATTAATTTGAAAATGTTTCTATACCAGACTCTTCTAGGGTCTAATGATTACTTGTAAAAAAAATAAATAAATAAAATAAATAAATAAATAAATAAATAAATAAATAGTGCCTTTGCGCTTAATTCTAGTGAATGGCTTTAGACAATACAGTAAATAAACAATGTTAGAAGACAAGCATTTAGTTAAAAAAAAAAAAAAAAAAAAAAAAAAAAAAAAAAGATGGGGAAGTGGGGTTGAAATTTTTTTTAAATGTTGATCAGAGACCTGAAGGATGTCCTGCCCTTCAAAAAGGATTACACTCTCCTGTTTGGCTTCCCTTCTGCCAAGAAAGCCTAGGAAGCTGCCCCAAACCCTGATTAAGTGAATAGAATGACCAGTAAGGGGAGAGGGGGGTTCAAACCAATTCCCAGGTCCCACCCACATATAATGGGTTGGAATTTCTGAAGGTGGGATCTTGGGATTTCTTAAAAAGCTCCCTAGGTTTGCCTGATAATCAACTCAGTTTAAAAACCATTGACCCACATTAAAATACCTTTCGAGGCAGGAAGCCGGCAAAGTTTGAATCATTTGTTGACTATCCAGCAATGCTAATTCCAGCCATTCTCCCTCCTCTCACCCAAAGTCTATGATCTAAGACAAGAGAATGGCTGAAATCCTCCAGGAAGAAAAAAGAGGAAAAATAAAAGTAAAGATAAATCCTGAGAACATTAGTATTTCAGAGTCAGGGGAAGAGGAAAACAACCACGGGAGACTAAGGCCCATGAAGCCAGAGAAAATTTGTAAGCAACATATTGGGGTAGGACATGGAGCAGTCAACATGGTGATACGCTGTGGAGAGATCAAATGATGAAATACTGGGGGTAAAAAAGCCATTGGCAATTAGCAGGTCAGTGTTGAGCTTAGCAAGAGTAGCTTTTTAGAGATCAGTCTGAAACTAGAGGGCATTGGGTTAGAGTGTGCCACTTGGTTCCAAATTCACCTTTTGCCTGCTCTGTGATAATAGATCTGAAGCTTCGTCAGCAGAGGGCGCTGGAGAGACACTGCAAGAGGAGAGTAGTCCCCTTGCAGCACTGTTGGCTTCCCCAGTGCCCAGCTCCTGCAGACCCAGGATTTCATCTGGCTCTTAGAGCATGGGAGCCTTCCCCAGCACAATGTGGTCCTCCAGCAGCTTCTGAGAACCTGCCCCACACCCCAACTATAAAGGTAGCTTTATAGAGTGGCTTTGGTGTCTGGTGAGACATCTCCCTATAAAGAGCTTTCCCCAGCACCCTAGAGCCCGGTCTGAAAAGGAAATACCCCGTCGATAGGTTCTGTCACAACTGCTCAACTCTACCACTGTAGTTTGAAGAAGCCACACACCTTATGGAAACAATAAAACTTTATTTATGGACACTGAGATTTTTATTTCATCTAATTTTCACATATCACAATATATTCTTGTTCTCTTAAGCATTTAAAAATGCAAAAACCACCGGGACCGGTTTCGCTCAGTGGATAGAGCATCGGCCTGCCGACTGAAAGGTCCCGGGTTCGATTCCGGTCAAGGGCATGTACCTTGGTTGTGGGCACATCCCCAGTGTGGGGTGTGCAAGAGGCAGGTGATCGATGATTCTCTCTCGTCGATGTTTCTAACTCTCTGTCCCTCTCAAGTTCTCTGTGCAAAATCAATAATATGTTTTTTAAAAAATGCAAAAACCAATCCTAGCTTCTGGGCTGTATAAAAACTGGTGATGAGCCAGCCGGTAGGCTGTAGTTTGATGACTCCTGTCCTAGAGGGAAGATTTTCATCAAGTTTCACAAGACTGACTTTCCAGTGATGTCAGTGCCATACTGCAGCCACCTTTCTGCCTCTCCCTTGAACTCGAGGGCCCGGGGTATGTATGGGGCTTAGAGGCAGTTAAAAGGTCTCTTCTTTGGGTGCTGTACTCCCTCAGCCCTAAGGTAGCAGCTGTACCCAACATCTGCTCTTCCTATTGTCTTTTAAGTCCTTGTTACTTTCTACTATGTCCATTCCTATCACTATATAACAAATGACCATATTTAGCATCTTAAAACAATAAGCATTTATCTGTTTCCATGGGTCAGGAGTCCAGGCATAGTATAACAGGGTCCTTTTCTTCGGGTCTTAAGATTGCTGAAGATGTCAGCCAGGGCTATATCATTTGGAGCTGGGGTCTCTTCTAAGCTCACTGGTTTTTGGCAGGATTCAGTTCCTTTGGCTCTGAGATTGAGGCCTCAGCCCCTAGAGTCTGCTGGGCGTTTCCTGACAGGTGACCCTCTCTACAATATGGCAGTTTGCTTTACGGCTAACAGGAGAGCACCACTGCTGTTGCTGTTCACTTTAGACATTCTTTTTTTATTTTTAATTTAAAATATATTTTATTGATTTTTCTTACAGAGAGGAAAGAGATAGAGAGCTAGAAACATCGATGAGAGAGAAACATTGACCAGCTGCCTCTTGCACACCCCCTACCGGAGTTGGGCCCGCAACCAATGTACGTGCCCTTGACCGGAATCGAACCTGGGACCTTTCAGTCCAAAGATTAACGCTCCACCGCTGAGCCAAACCGGTTTCGGCTTAGACATTCTTTTTTTAAATATATTTTATTGATTTTGTACAGAGAGGAAGGGAGAGAGATGGAGAGTTAGAAACATCGATGAGAGAGTGTCATCGATCAGCTGCCTCTTGCACATCCCCTACTGGGGATATGCCCGCAACCAAGGTACATGCCCTTGACCGGAATCAAACCTGGGACCCTTCAGTCCCCAAGCCGACGCTCTATCAATTGAGCCAAACCGGTCTCAGCTAGACATTCTTTTAAAAGGATCTTATGATTAAGTCAGGCCCATCCACAGTAACCGCCCTTTGAATTCAGTCAACTGATTAGGGTTCTTTAATTACATCTACAAAATCCCTTCACCTTTGCCATATAACGTAATTTAATATTGGAATGATGTATATAGGGCATATATATCCAGGGTAAGAAATCTCGGGGACCATGTAGAATTCTACCTACTACTGATGGGATAAAAATCATGCTTAACTATGCTTTTTACATTTTCTTTAATCTTATTTTCATAGTATTTTTAAATTTTTCCTATGTATATACTAGGAAATTTGATTCTATATGATTCAAACAAAATTAGAATTCAGTTTTAAAATGTTTATTTCATAGTTCATAAAAAAAGGTTTTTATGTACAAGACTCAAAAGTAAATAGACAGCTTTCAATCACAAATGGATGAGTCAGGAGTCATTCAAACTCTACTGTGGAAGCATATTTAATGCACACTCTTCACTGTTGTGTATAAATAATTTTAACTATGCAGCCCAAGTTCCAAAACTGCATATACATGACACTTGTGGTCAATTTTAAGATTGGTAAAGTCAATTTCAAGCTCTTATATTTTGAGTACAGGTTTCACTATTACAAATATATGTTAACTAATAAAATAGTCTGCAAAGATTTCTCTGTCCCACGCTCATACATTTGTAATCTGAATCCATCTGCTAATTTCCCTTCTTCGAGTTACTTTTCAAATTACAGCAGTTATCCGTGGAGTTCCCTATGCATCTCACCCATCTCCTTTATCTGCAATAGACAAAAAGAGGAAAAAAAATTAAAATAATTTCCCAATCTTTTGTTCTTTCTGAAAAGTTAAAACAAAACAAAGAGAAAGCAAGATACTTCTCTTCCACATTTATGAGACTCATTTAAATTTAAAAAAAGAAAGCTATAATACACTCTGGGTGCATGATTCAAACTGCTGTTTAGAGAGCGAAGATGGCCAAAGTGACAGGGGAAAGTAGCAGGTAAGCTAATGTCTTTAAGAATGAGTAAGATTTTTTTTTTACATGTATACCATTTTTTACATCTAGGAAGAACCAATTCATTTTTTATTATCAATCTTTTATTTTATGGGTGAGGAAATTGAAGCTCAAAATTATGCAGCTTGTCCCAGACTACACAGTTATAGGCAGAAATGAGACATGGTTACAAGTATACCTGACAAACATTTTGCCTTGTGGCAAGCCTGAGACCAAAATTGTGCATGAATTACTTTGTTTAATCCTCATGAGTCTGCGCTATAATCACGCTTTATATATAGGGAAACATGGAGGCTTAAAGAAGTTAATTTGTCCAGCTAATGAGAGGTCAAACCCAGGTCTATATTGTTCTTAACCACAACACTATGTTGTCATTCTGAATTTCTGATATGATTCAGTTTAGGGATAGTCCTCTAGACCAGTGGTCACCAAACCAGGTAAGCCAGATGATTATGGTACGGGAAGAAAATGGTAGAACTTTATAGTTCCATTATTAGATTTTTTTTCAATATTCTTTTACAGTTCTGTATTATTTGGTAAAATATCAGTAAATAGCACATATACACTTACAAAAGTACATAAATATACAAAAATTGGTGAGTATACTGAAAATGTTATTGATGGATTTAAGAACAAGTGTATTCATATCAAATTCCAAGTGACTGAAACACACTAGCAATCTCACACTTAGATTTCACACTAATGACTAGTAAGTACGCAACAAATTAAGCAGGACATAAATTAAGTTCATTTTTAATGATAATTAATAATTTCACTAGCATAAAGACAATAAATCAGGTAATTAGTCATACTGAGTTTCTCTAAAATGAATACACTAGAATATGCTTCTAAAAGATTCCACAAAATGTTAATACTTTGTAAAATATATATATATATATATATATATATATATATATATATATATATATATATATGTATATGTAATACAGGCTTCCTATCCCATTATTATATGAGACAGAATTGATCTGCCATGAAACTTGAGCAAAAAAATGTAGGTAAGGGAGCATTGTAAGACTGCTCCTTAGACTCTATGGACAATATTACAAAAGAACTCCAGTGTAATTGAAACCTGTTAACTGTCTAGGAAGATATAGAGATTATTAGGAATAAAAGATTAAATGAAGATCTTTTTATTAAGTAATCCATTTACCTCAGCCTTCTCATACTTTGCCGTTCTTTTCTTTCTGGAAATAATCTGAATGAAAAAAAAATTATTACAATTTTAGGATTGCTACCCAAACAAAAGGTTGGTATAAATCAGCAATTTTTAACCGGTGTGCCACAAGAATTTTAAAAACATACAATACCTGACTACTTACTCAGGGGCACTGGCCTCTTTTCCCTTAGATTGTCAAACAAAAAAATGACAACGGCCAACACAACAGCTATCCAGTGTAAATGAATAAAAATTATACCTTATTTTTTTAAGATCAGCAAAAAATATATTTTTTTGGTGTGCTGCAGAATTTTAGCCATTAGTTTATGTGTGCCATGAGATGAAAAAGGTTGAAGCATTGACCAGTGTGGCTCAGTTGCTTGAACATGGTCCCATGCCTGAAATGATGCCTGCTCAGAGTGCAGTGCACATGGGAGGCAACCTATTTCTTTCTCTCTCTCTCTCTCTTTCTCTTCCTCTCTCTCAAAAATCAATAAAAACAGCCCGACCAATATGGCTCAGTGGTTGAGCATCAACCTATGAACCAGAAGGTCACAGTTAGGTTCCTGGTCAGGGACATGCCTGGGTGTTTGTGGACTTGGTCTCCAGTGGGGGGCATGCAGGAGGCAGATCAACATTCTCTCTCATCACTGATATTTCTTTCTCTCTCTTACTCCCTTCCTCTCTGAAATCAATAAAAATATATTTTAAAAAGAAAATAACGAATCATCTTTAATGCAATGTAAAAGCCCGATGTGCATTCTTCCACAGACTGTTCCACCCTAATACAGACATAAACTATGGAATCATGCACTATTTTTGCACAGCCTGTATTGTCATAGAAACCCTACCAAATCAAAAGCTATAGATTGAACTCATTCTTTTCCATAGCCACTTTATTCCATGGCATGGATATACTATGTTCGGGTTGTTTGCAGATTGACCATTACAAGCAACACTGCAATATATAATCTGACCATGCTTCCTTATGTACTCATGCTTTCATTTACACAGGAAAATCCAATAATTTCTATGACTAATCTTTTTTTTTTTTTTTTTTTTTTTTAATGCGCCCTAGCCCCCACCACCCTATGACTAATCTTTCATGTGTTTATTTTTGCCATCTGGAATTCCTTTTCTGAAAATTGTCTATCACTACCTGCTGCCATTCCTTCTTTAGTTTCCTCATCAATTTGTAAGAGCTCTATATATATTATGCATAATACTTTTTTTAAAATTGTGTATGGTGAATATTTCCCCCAGCCTATCATTGATATTTTCCCTTAATATATATTTTTATTGATTTCAGAGAGAAAGGCAGAGAGAGAGACAGAGAGTGTGAGAGAAAGAGATAAAAACATTAATGATGAGAATCACTGATCGGCTGCCTCTTGCATGCCCCCTACTGGAGACCAAGCCCACAACCCAGCCCTGTGCCCTTGACTGGAACTGAACTCTGGACCCTTCCGTCTGCAGACCGATGCTCTACTCACTGAGCCAAACCAGCTAGGCATTATGTTCTACTTTACAGTCTCTTTGCCATACAGATGTTAATTTCAATTATGTCAAATATATATCTTCTCCCTCACAGATTCCAGATTTCTTGTCTTACTTGGTTTTCTCTACCACAGGTTATTTCAACATGAACCGCCTGACTCCTCTCACAGGCGCTATGCCAATCACACAGCTGGACAAGGTGGTCGGCCCTGCTGGGGTGAAACTAAAACGCAACTTCTGTTTTCTTCCAGGCAGAGTGCCACGTGTGACAATCCCATTGAACGGACAATGTAAATCCCCATGGACCTTCAAATCCATTTCTGAATTCTTTATGTTGGTACGATTCCCTGAAGCTGAAGCACCCGTACATTTCTAGAATAAACCCCCACCTTCGCGCGACACATCCTTCTTTGGAAGCACTGATAAATTCACTTTGCTTCATGTTTACCATTTTTAACTTCTTGCTATGCTAACCTGAATCTGTGTCGCCTCATTTCATCTCACTGAATGGCTGGAAGGGCAGGTGTATTGAGCTAATCCCAGCAGGAGCGTTGAACTGCTTGCAGCGAGAACTGAAGGGCATTTGCTGCTTGACAGCAACCTAACTGACCTGTGAGGTGCGCAGCTACAAGCTTTTCTAATTAGTATCCTTCCTTGCTTCATAAGGTGATTTTTTAGTAAAAAAAGAGACCAGAAATGCAATAGATTCGCTCACTATGGAGAATTATTAAGAAGAAAAAAAAGATTTCCATTTCATTTATATCATTTTGGAACATGGATGTAATAAGCCTTTTGATATTGTCACCTTTCCTTGCAAGAATACAACCTTAAAATAAAACTTTACTCACCAGAACGACGATTCCAGCAATGAGTGCTATAGCCACAACCACGATGACGGCAATAATACCAGCTTTTAGGCCCTGCATCGAAAATTCAGGTGGTTTTTCATCAACATAGTAAATGGCAGTTCGACCAGGATCCAGATCCAGCTGTTCCCCGTCTATTCTCAGGTCCATTCTCTTGGAATAGAACAAGGATTCGTCTTTAACCTATATAGAGAAGGAGAAAAGTGATTTAAAGTACATTTTAAAACCTGGCCACGTGGAATCACATGTCCATTCTAAACAAAAAAAACCTGCTGCCACCCAGCCGGTGTGGCTCAGAGGTTGAGCGTCAACCCATGCACCAAAAGGTCACCAGTTTGATTCCCAGTCAGGGCACATGCCTGGGTTGCAGGCTCAATCTTCAGCAGGGACATGCAGAAGGCAGCCAATCGATGTTGATGTTTTTTTCATCAATGCATTTATTTCTCTCTCCCTCTCCTTCCCTCTTTCTCTCTCTCTAAAATCAATAAAATAAAAGAACTGTTGCCAAGAATCTTTATAGTTTCAATGGTAACAGTCTCATATACTGAAACTTTAAAAAGATCATTAAACATGGGAAATTTCCGAACATATACAAAAGTAGAAAGAATACTATAATGGCCAAAACCCGTTTGGCTCAGTGGATAGAGCATCGGTCTGTGGACTGAAGGGTCCCAGGTTCGATTCGGGTCAAGGGCATGTACATTGGTTGTGGGCACATCCCCAGTGGGGGGTGTGCAGGAGGCAGCTGGCCAATGTTTCTCTCTCATTGACGTTTCTAGCTCTCTATCCCTCTCCCTTTCTCTCTGTGGAAAATCAATAAAATATATTTTTTTAAAAGAATACTATAATGAAGTCCCATGTACCTATCACCAGATTCAACAAATAACAACACAAGGTCAATCTTATTTTACTCATTCTTCCTTCTATCTTCCTCCTCCACCCCCCGCCTTCTTCAGATCAAATTATTTTGAAGCAAATTCCAGATTTCATAAAAAAATAAAAATAGCATATTATAATATATAAAGTGCCCAGTTGGTGTGGCTCAGTGGTTTTGTGTCAACACATAAATTAAGAGGTCGCCAGTTCAATTCCCGGTCAGGACACATGCCTGGATTGCTTGATCCCTGGGGAGGCGGTAGGGAAAGGAGCATGCAAGATGCAGCTGATCAATGATTCTCTCTCATCATTGATGTTTCTCTCTCTTTCCTCTCTTGAAATCATAAAAAAATATTTTTAAAAATATATAAAGCTTAAACAAACTATTTTGTCATACCAGCTACACAGCATTTCTCACATAACCCATATTTACGAAAATAATAGGAAAAGACTATACACACAAACTAAGCAACTACCAACCCGAGGTAATAGATAAGAATTACGCTGAAACCAGTTTGGCTCAGTGCCGAAACCAGTTTGGCTCAGTGGATAGAGCATCGGACTGCGGACTGAAAGAATTACGTGAAGAAAAAAGAAAAATAAATAAAATAAAATAAAAATAAAAAGAATTACGTGAAGATATTTTAGGTAGAACAATTTGATAAAAAGGCATAAATATACAAACAAACAAGAAAGGTGTACAAGAAAGGTGATAAGAGTGATATTAATGGCAGCACAAGAATCACTAGGAGAACAGAAATAAGGTTGGTCTGTATGTGGAGAAGCAGATGATGAAAGATCTTGAATCCGCTGAGGCATGACAAACAGCATTACATTTCTATACAAAGGAATACGACGAGGAAGATTATACTCACATCTTTTTCAAAATAATAAGCCACATCAGCTATGTCCACGTCATACTGAGTTTTCTGAGTAGAATTCTGCACTAGATCAATAGTGATCAGATCTTTCTCATACTAGGGAGGAAATTGAAAAACACAAATTATTATTAACATAACCAAAATCATGAATATGTCATTATTCAATAATGAGAATATTTACTATTTTATTTTCTATAATCTACATGTATCAGTGCTCCTTTTCACTAGTAGAAAATTGAGTTTATCACTAAGAATTTTAAAAATCTTTGGAAAACTAAAAAATCTTTGGGAGCTGGGACCAGTTTGGGTCAGTGGAGAGAGCGTTGGCCTGCGGACTGAAAGGTCCCGGGTTCGATTCCGAGCAAGGGCATGTGCCTTGGTTGCGGGCACATCCCCAGTAGGGGGTGTGCAAGAGGCAGCTGATCGATGATTCTCTCTCATCGATGTTTCTCTCTATTCCTCTCTCTTCCTCTCTGTGAAAAATCAATAAAATATATTTTAAAAAATAAATAAATTTACCCAAGGGAACTAAGACAGCAATGCAAACAATAATTGCAATCATGTTTTCTTATCAAAAGAAAATTTTCTTCTCTTGAAAATATTTTAGAATAAAATATTAAGGCACCATATTTGGCTAGAACTACTTTAAAATTAAAATATTAACGAAGCACAATCCAAAATGCAGTATGTATTTATCACATTCTGCTTTTAGGAAGCAAAAAAGCATATTTCTTCCAAAAAATAATTTATTTTTGAAGAAAGTCTTTAATATGAAAAAGACCAAAATACCAGGGGGGTAGGGGGAAGAGAGGGGGAAAAGAGGAAAGAAAGCATAGAATAGTGAAAATGAAGGGAAAAGAAAAAATTGTTTGGGGGGAGGGGTCATTGTATCTATGAAGCAAAAATAGAAAGGGAGGAGCAATTGGAGGTTGAGACAACCTTTTGTAAATAGAAAATACAATAAAAATTAAAATGCAATAGGAGGCTTGGAAGACAAAGACATAGAAAGATCTCAAGTATAGAATATTTGACAATAGCCGGGACCGGTTTGGCTCAGTGGATAGAGCGTCGGTCTGCGGACTGAAAGGTCCCAGGTTCGATTCCGGGCAAGGGCATGTACCTTGGCTGCGGGCACATCCCCGGTGGGGGGTGTGCAAGAGGCAGCTGATCGATGATTCTCTCTCATCGATGTTTCTAACTCTCTATCTCTCTCTCTTCCTCTCTGTGAAAAATCAATAAAATATATTAAAAAAAAAAAAAAGAATATTTGACAACAGAAGGGAAAGGGTGAAAAAACCCAAGATTCAGAAAATAACAGCAGAAGAGAGAAGAGAAAATTTGTGAGGGTGAGGATGAATCATGAACAAAGGATTGGAACTAAATGGACTTTTCAATATAAACACTGGAGCTGTACGATACTGGAGAAATACCTTCAAACGTCTATAGAAAATTGTAACTTTGAATTCTATACTAAGTCAAATTATCAATCGATTATAAGAATAATCTAACAATATTTTTAGGCATTTGAGGACTCAAAATTGAACCTTCCTCGTACCCGTTTTTAGTAGGCTTCTGGGAGATGGGCTCCACTAAAAGCAAGTGTCTCTTTTTAAAAATGACATAAACCTAGCGGTTTGGCTGTGTACTGAAGGGTCCCAGGTTCAATTCTGGTCAAGGACATATGCCCAGGTTGCGTACTCAATCCCCAGTAGGGAGAATGCCAATCAATGATTCTCTTATCCTTGATGCTTCTCTCTCTATTTCTCTCTCTCTCCCCCGCTCTCTGATATTAATAAAAAAAAAATTTTTTTTTAAATGACATAAATTTTGCCAGGCAAGTGTGGCTCAGTGGTTGAGTGTCGACCTATGAAGCAGGAAGTCATGGTGCAATTTCCAGTTGGGCATATGCCTGGGTTGCAGGCTCATTCCCGTGTGGGGTGTGCAGGAGGCAGCTGACGAATGATTCTCTCTCATCACTGATGTTTCTCTCTCTCCTCCCTCTCCGAAATCAACAAATCTATTTTAAAAATAAGAATGACATAAATTTTAATCTAGAGGAACAATAGTAAACGAAGACTGCTTTAAAAGAGTTTCATCATACTATTAAAGCATTTTCAGCCAGAGTTGAAAAAGTTAAGGAAGAGCTACCTGGTTAGGACTAGCTTCTGAAACGAGAGGAGATGGGAGCTAGGTACTCAAAAGCAAATGTGTGCTAACAGCAATCACAGAGAGCCGCTTCCTAGGGTAAGAAGACTGGTATGTGTTTGGGATACTAAGCGATACAACATTTGCTTTAAGGGCAAATTGAGGTTTTCAAAGGCTATAAGAGAAAAATAAAACAGGTAATTTGCTTTATGAAGTTCCCAGAGCTGAAACTGTTACTCAAATGCAATTTGATCACCACCAAAAATCAGATCCAAACCACGCTGCTTCACCAACTTTCTGTTTAAGCTCATTTACTAAAAGAACAAAAAACAAAACTTACCAGAATATTTCCAATGTATTTTGGATCCAGTTGATAACGACTTGTGATTACCTCCGTGAGCGCACTGTAAATAATTAAAAATCACATTCTTTAAAAAATGGTTGTACTACACAACATTAAAAAATATTTTAGACATTTTAATTCATTTTTTTTTTAAAGCACTAATTTTTAACAAAGCAGATAGCTCAAGGTCTGGAGTTGTCAATAACCAAACTTGGAATTTTTATGCCATTTTGCAAATATCAAGATAACTGACTCAGGTAGAATCATCTACTGATGCTAAACTAATGAATTCTACTTTGATTAAAAACAGGGTATCAAGTATCTGCCCACAGATTATACTTATTTAGTCTTTAAATTCTATATTTACTGATTTTAGAGAGAGGGGAAGGGAGAGAAAAATATTAATTTGTTGTGCCATTTTATTTATGTATTCATTGGTTGCTTTTTATATGTGCCCTGACCAGAGACAGAGCCTGCAACCTTAGCATTCATGGGATGCTCTAATCGAGTGAGTTACCCAGCCAGAGCTCGCTCACAGATTATATTTGTTAATTAAAAAGAAGAAAATGGTAACTCTACAGTGGAGAAACCTGGCGACACAACCTTCACCACAGTTAACATCATCACATCAGTACAGGATCAAGGTGACATCACGTCCTTTCTAGGACTGGTTTTATAGATGCTGGTGATAAACCAAGGGGATGAAAAGTATAACCTGTACTAAATTATGAGGAAACATCAGAAAAACAAAATTTGAGGGACATTTATAAAACAAGTTGCCTAGCCGTGGCCAGTTTGAGTCTCAGTATTAAATGCTTCCTGAAGGATCTCAGTATTAAATGCATACTGATTCCTAGTCAGGGCACATACTCAGGTTGCAGGTTCGATCCCAGTCGGGTGTTATGGGAGGGAACCAGTCCATGTCTCTTGTTTCTGTCTGTCTCTCTCTAAAAAATCAATTTTTTAAAAAAGCAGGCCCTGGCCGAGTAGCTGAGTTAGTCAGAGCATTGTCCTGATACACAAAAGTTGTGGTTTCAATCCCTGGTCAGGGCAAACTTATAAGAAGCAAAACAATGAATGCATAAATAAGTGGAACAAAGCAATGTTTCTCTCAAAATCAATAAATTAAAAATATATTGCAAACAAAACAAAAACAACTTGCCTACACTCTTCAAAATTACCAAGATCATGGAAGACAAAGAAAGGCCAAAACAGTGTTTCATATTGAAGAGAAAACAGTCATGACAACTAAATGCAATGCATGATCTTAGATTGGGTCCTGGATCAGAGGATAAAAAATGGTTATAAAGGACAACATTGGGGGCATGATGTCTATTATATATTTTGCTCTCATATGGTTCTGTGGGGAAATATACATGCTTAGATATACAAAGCACACAGCTGATACAAAGAGGCAGCTGATCTATGACTCTCTCTCATGCACACATGCATACACACATACACATATAAAGAAAAAATGTGGCAAATGTTTACTAGTGAATCTAAGAAAAGAGTACTATAGGAATCTTACTCTTCTTACAAATCTATTTCAAAATAAGATTAAAAATAGTATGTACTAGTATAGCATCTTTTTAAGAAATACGAAAAAAAACATTGTGACTTGTTTTAGTTTTTCTAATGTAGGATGGAAGATCCGAGCATCGGTCATGTAAATACAATGCACTGAATAGCACTTACGTCTGCAAACTTTGAGTATTATAAGGTTTTTCTCTTGTTTTGTGTCTCAGTTCAATGATGATCCAGCTGTAAAATAAAAAAGACAGTATTAACTGTATAACAATTCAGACTTTTACATTATATTATTTTCTTAATAACCGAGTAGAGGTAACAGAAAAAGGATTGATGCAGTAGATACGCCTTTAATTTTTTCCCTGGTCCTCACAGATCTTTCATACAGAACTCATCCAGTGGCTCTCTCTATGGAGCACCCCAGCACCTTTCCCCATCCTTCTCCCCCAGACCACCCCCCACTTTTCCCCTTGCTTCTTCTTCTTCTTCTTCTTCTTTTTTTTTTACAGAGAGGAAGGGAGAGAGACAGAGAGTTAGAAACATCGATGAGAGAGAGTCATCGATCAGCTGCCTCTTGCATACCTCCCTCTGGGGATGTGCCCGCAACCAAGGTACATGCCCTTGACCGGAATCAAACCCGGGACCCTTCAGTCCGCAGGCTGACGCTCTATCCACTGAGCCAAACCGGTTTCGGCTCCTTGCTTCTTTCTCCTAAGCTCCAACGGCCTTTCTTTTGCTTCTGTAACTTGTTTCCTGAGCCCACTTCTTCTACTACTCACTTCTACCTCTGTGATTTTTCTAAATAAACTCTTGCTTGTATTAAAAAAAAAAAAAAAAAAAAAAAAAAAAAAAAAAACCCTCATCCAGGAGGGAACACCCTTTCTAACACTAACTCTCAGGCCTCTGGTTGTGTCAAGTCAAGGCTCAGCTGGTCACGTTGGGCCAAGGTCCAGTGAAGATACAGAAAGACGCCAAGAGTACCTTGAGGCTCCAGGAGAAGGAAATGTAGAGAGTGACCATCTTGGTCTTGATACCTTTTCAGTTCCTAGTTCTTTCCAATAAAACCTTTTTTACTTATGGTAGCTTGAGTGTGTTTCTGTTCTTTTTCATTACATAATCCTCAAGACAACCATATCTCATTTTAAAACTATAAGTAAGCCCTAGCGGACTTGGCTCAATGGACAGAGTGTCAGCCTGCAGACTAAAGGGTCCTAAGTTTGATTCCAGTCAAGGGCACATGCCTGGGTTGCGGATCAATGATTTTTTCTCATCATTATCTCTCTCCCCCTCACCCTTCTTCTCTGAAATCAATGAAAAATATTTTTTAAAATAACAAAAACACCACTATAACTGAGCAAATACCTAAGTAGCTTAAATCATTCATATACATTTAATACTAACCAAACTTTAAAATACTGAACAGTGTTGAGTAAAAATGTTAAAGGAACATTATGTTCCATATGCTACCGTAAAAAAAAAAAAAAATGCTGCTAGTAAATTTATAAATTATCTCTGGAAGGTTGTAGAATAAACTAGTGAATCAGTTCTATAGAGTTAAACTGGGTCACTAGGGGTTTGAGACGGGATGGAGACTTTTCGCTATACTCCCTCTTCTATCTGTTGAATTCTAAATCATGAAATTACTTATTCAAAAATAAGTTTAATTAAACAAATCTGAAAAGCATGAAAGCAAACAGAACAGGCAACCCCACTCACTAGGTCCTCACTCGTTCGGAGCAGGTTATCTCGGTGTCTTTATCCGTCCTTCGGACGCCGGCAGTGTTCACACACCAGCAGGTGGTGGTGCCATTGCACTGCTTGGCTTTAAAGTGCCCGTTCTCGTCACACTCGGGATCGTAGAGTCCGTCGTTATTCTGAATGGCGTCGTCAGGTTTTGGTCTCCTCCCAGACTTGGAGTGAGACATTTCTGCCTTCATCACTAAACATTTGGTAGCCACTACACAACAACAACAACAACAAGCTTAACGTCATACTGAAAAATAACTGCAGTTATATTCTTTAAGGGAAAGGAATTTTGATTTAACTTCCCAGGGCCAAAGATTATTATAGACTTGCATGTTCCCCCGCTCACTTTCTCAAGATACAGACGCTGTCAGGAGTAAGGAAACTGACAAAATAACATGAGTCAGATTTGAGCTGGTAAAAGGCTTCCCAACTCAAAATACACATCCATCAAAGAAAATATACGTCCAAATAAAGCTGAAAGGCCTGGAAGATATTCTACTCACATTTTGAGCAGATGACGGAATGTTGTGTGCCGATTGAAGTACACCAGCACTGACCATCCATGCTCACAGAGCAGTTTGTGGTCAGTTTGTAGTTTTCACAGATACAGTCTAGGAAGAAAAAGAAAAAAAAAATCCACTTTAAAATGTGAATCCAACTATCAACTCTGCTGTCCCTGCTAAATTGCATTGTGATAATAGTGTCCAGGTTACAGGGACACAAAGCCTTTCAAAGTGGTCCTGAATGTTTTACTTTTCAGCCATGAGTGGCTGACATAATCTATATATATAATATAGATATATACTCTAATTTGCACACACTCCTGTTCTGATTTTCTAAACCAAGAATACAGCCCTCCAAACATCATATTTCGCTTGGCTTTTATAACAGTCCCAGGGTCAGCTCCTTCCCTCCTTGCTGTCATGCTAAGATAAACACTTGCCAGTCAGCTACCGACTTGTCTTCTAAAATCAACAATTCCATTCCCTTCCTCCTCCCCCCAATCCGGATTTTCTTATTAAGAGATTCCTGCTTTGGGATTTAATAGGAACATATTCAGCACCTGGGCTATATCGTATCTTAAAAAATATATACTTTCAATTGAATTTGGGAGCACTTCAGTATGTGGATTTCCTAACACATACCCAACTTTCCAAATTTTTTTTCTAAAGAGGAAGGGGGGAGGGGGAGAAGAGAGATATAGATAAGGGAGAGAAAAATCAATTAGTTGCTCACCACCTTTAGGTATAGGAAACAGGACATGGGACGGGACAACGCTCCAAACAACTGAACCACCAGCCAGGGGCCCTGGTACCCAACTTTGCTCCCACCCTGATTACTGACGTTAGTGTAATAGTTATATCCTTGACTCTCTCAAAAGTAAATGTTAACTTCAAATGGCAAGCCCACCTAATTTCTTCTAGTTAAGAGAGTGCAATCATTAAAAAATACAAATAGTGCGACAAACCAAAGAATTTTAATATTGATCCTTCATGGCCCAAGTTGGCTTTATGTTTGCCCCGTTTAAATTCGTATAATCAATAGTAACCACCTACATACCCTATCAATACGAAACTAAATATTAGGGTTAAAAAATGGAGAAAGTATAGTGGCTGTCCCCAAAGAGTTAAAATCTTATACCTGCTCAAAGCACACTTTTCATGTCTAAGCAATGTCAAGTTTAAAACAGACCAATCATGAACGCTTTCTGAACACAGGCCTATAGCAGCTATCGTCACTTTAAAGGGATTTTAAGATTTCAGTATTTCACCCCAGACAGTATCTAGAAACCCATGAGCTGTTTAAACTGCATTACTCTGAAAGGGTAATTAATGAGGCTGTGCCCTGTTGGTGAGGGTATAAAACCCTTCCCAGAAAACTTTGGCCAATAGCCACGTACTTCTGCCCACCATCTTACAAATGGTAACAGCCAAGAGGTTTATCCGAGAGAGAAAAACTGAAGTCAAACTACACGCCCGACATTTGAATAATGGTGTGACCTTCCACGATATAGACTATTCTGTCACCATTTAAACAGTGTTTTCCAACACTAGAGAAAATGTAAAACTCTGGATGCACGGGGTGTGTGTGTGTGTGTGTGGGTGTGGGTGTGGGGGAGGTGCAATGAGGGGTGGAAATCAAGATATAAAACTGTGTTTAGATTTAGACAACATTTAGAACAAGGTTAAAGAGAAAAACACACCCAATTATTAATTATGGGATTCTAAGTGGCGGGATTATGGGTGGTTGGTTTTTTTTTGTTGTTGTTGTTTTTACCCTTTAGGGTTATCCATATTTCTGGGTTCCCTACACTAAAGCTGGCATTACTAATATGATTCTTAGAGAAAACACCTACAACGCACTGCAGTCAAGGTCCAGGAGGACCCTCTCCCACCCGCAGGTGCGGAACGGCCAGGGTGCCCTCCCTGCAGGTGGCCTCCCGGAGCCGCACATCCGGGGCCGCGGCAGGTGCTCCGGGAGGGGCGGGCGGCCGGGCGGCCGGTCGCCGTCCAAGACCGCCCTCCCGGCCGAGCCGATCCCGGCCCCTCCAAACCCCGAGTGCGCCGCACACACCGAGTCCGAAGAACCCCGGACGCGCCCCCTCCATCCCCCGCCCCCCCTGCGCCCCGGACCCGGCCACCTCCGCAGAGAGGACGGCACGGCCGCCCCGCGAGGCTGCTCCCGGGCCCCGCGCGAGTGGGCGCCTCTGTGCGTCCCCACCCGCCGCCGCGCCCGCGCGCTCCGGTCTCCGGTCTCCAGCCGGCAGCGCACGGCAGCGCCCCCCTTCCCCAAATCCACACCCCGCCCCGCGCCCAGGCCAGTTCCCCCCCCCCCAATCCCGCTCCCCACCTTTCTGAGCCGCGGCCACCGCCGCCGTCGCGAGCAGAAGCCCGATCGCGAGGACCTGGGGGGGCGCCATGCCGCGCGCGCGGAGGAGGAGGCGCGGGAGGAGGGGGTCTCCGGGGGCGCGAGCGCGAAGAGAAGAGGCCGCTGCCTGCGGGATGCTCCGGGGCCGGGGCGACGCGCACTGGCCGGGGGACTGCGCACTCTGGCGCGGGGCGGCGCGGGGCGGGGCGGACCTGCCGGACCTGGCGGCCCCGCCCCCCGGCGCCGGGCGGCCGCTCACCTCTGCCCGCCGGTCCCCGCGGTGAGTCACCGGCCCAGCGAGCGGGGGCGGCGGGGAGGAAGCGGCTCCCCCCCTCCCCCCGCCGGGCCCGGGCGCCGCCCTCGCCAGGTGCGCACCCGGCCCGCGCCCACCTGTGCCTCCCGCCGAGGCCGGCGGGAGCGGGGAGGGCGGGGCTGCGGCTGGGGAGGGACCCGGGGCGGCCGCAGAGAGAGTTGGAAGACGGTGCGACTTCTTTGTTTGAAATTTGTTTGAAGTTTGAAAATAAGGCGACTTGTTTTGTCGGGGAGCACAGCTCAGGAGCATGGAAGAAACGGGGCCTGGAAGGAGGAGGCGGCTGGGAAGAGGAACTTGGAAGCTCAAATGAATGCAAAGAGAAGCGGAGAGCCGTCGAACCACAAAAAAAAAAAACAAAAAAAAAAAAACCACACACCAAACTTTGAGTTATACCCACCAGTTTAATTGTACTCCTTTGAATCCAAGAGAAAAAAAAAAAATCTCCCTGGCTCGTGGAGGATGACAAGTTCGTGTGTTCTTTCCCCCTTTTTAGCCCTTGGAGATGTAAGAAAACTTGTTCCTCTGGAGCCAAATGCTGGAAGCTGAAAATACTCCGAGTTTGATTAATGTTAGAGGACAATATTGATGAATGTTTTGAAAACATGGGGAAATAGAAACACTGGGTAATAACTTATTTCACTGCAGTGATTTCAAATGACAACGCATTATTATTAGTCTTAAAATAGTTGTAATTCAATAACAAAATAAGGTCTTTAATTTTTTTGTTGTTGTTAGCTGAAATATCATTATAATCTGTTTTTTCTTAATTTACTTTTTAATCTTTATATTTATAAGACTTTATTTGAGCCCAAACTGGACAAAATCTCAAATGTTTCCTAACCTGTTTTTAAAAGGCATTTTTTTTTTTCTGCATAAGGAAATTTTGGAGTAAGAGTTTAAAAGAGTAAAGGTAAAAGCCCAATTTTAAGATTCAGCTAATATATATATATATATATATATATATATATATATATATTAGCTGAATCTTAAAATTATATATATATATATAATCTCCAGTAAAAAAAAAAATGCTTTTATTGAGCGATCATTTAAGTGTGTTGTACTCTCCTATTGAAAATTAATTATTGTAAATAATTACATTGTTACGGTAGATAGCTATATAACTTGAATTTCATTTGAACATTTAATAAACTATTTTTTAAATATTTTATTTATTTTTTTTAAATATATATATATTTTATTGATATTTTACAGAGAGAAAGGGAGAGAGATAGAGAGCTAGGAAACGTCAATGAGAGAGAAGCATCGACCAGCTGCTTCTTGCACACCCCCTACTGGGGATATGCCCGCAACCAAGGTACATGCCCCTGACCGTTATCGAACCCGGGACCTTTCAGTCCCCAAGCCGACGCTCTATCCATTGAGCCAAACCGGTTTCAGCTATTTTTTAAATATTTTAAAAATTGACTCTCAGAGAGGAAGTGAGAGAGAGGGAGAGGGAGAGAGATTGATTTGTTGTTTCACCCATTCATGCATTCATTGGTTGATTCTTATAAGAACACTGACCAGGGATGGAACCTGCAACCTTGGAGAATCAGGATGTATTGGGAGGTCTCTCTAACCAACTAAGTTACCTGGCCAGGGTTTACTTGATGATTGAAGTCTTAAGGGAATCCTATCATTTTTTAAATCTGTAAATCTGAGTTGCTACACCTACCCTGCTTCCCCGAAAATAAAAGTGTCTTATGTTAATTTTTGCTCCCAAAGATGCGGTAGGTCTTATTTTCAGGGGATGTCTTATTTTTCCATGAAGAAGAATACGGTACACATTTATTGTTAAATGAAAATAAAGGAAATTTGTTACCTATATACGGTACAGTAGTACAGTAGTTGTCAACATAAACCAAACTGTGAATCCTACAGTATCAAGAATTTACTCATTTATTCAATGACAATCATGTCATCTTCTGGAACATCATCATAACAATCCAATTCCTGAATTTCCTGGACTCCATTTCTTTCAGAATCAGTGGACCAAATCTCTCATGTTAGCAATAGCATTCTGAGACAGAGCTTGGGGGGGGGGGGCCTTATTTTCGGGGGGATGCCTTATATTTCATTCAGAAGGAAACTTGTAAGTAGGTCTTATTTTCGGAGGATGTCTTATTTTCGGGGAAACACAGTAGTTTTGGAACTTTGTGATCTGTTCACCAACTTGAAGTTAAAAGAATAGTATATCAAATCAGGAACAAGTTAACCAGATTTTTGGTGTCTTCTTCATTTCAGGAAGTTGCCCACAGCCAGCCTCTAAACTACACATACTGTACTTTTCACAAGAATAATCTAACTGGTTATTGTGGCTATACTTGCAAAATGTTACATTGCCAGGTCTTAATCTGTTTTTCAATCAAGTTGATAGCTGTTTATTAAATTGGTCATTGCAATAAAGTGAATTGAGTAAACATGATAATTAAATAAATGACAAATACCACACTAAGCTCTGACTCATAATATCTGAGCATACATCTAAGGTATTTATTTTTATAGCTCATTAACACCTCAATTTGTCATCACTGCTCAAAATTACTCTCATTTAAAACATTTTTATTGATTTCAGAGAGGAAGAGAGAGAGAGAGAAATATCAACGATGAGAGAGAATTATCCATTGGTTGCTTCTGCACACCCCACTCTGGGCATGTGCCCTAACCAGGAATCGAACTGTGACCTCCTGGTTCACAGGACGATGCTCAACTATTAAGACACGCTAGCCAGGCAAAGTACTCACATTTTTGCTATGATTGTGAATCTTGTGTAGTTAACAGTGCTATATTTAGGAATATTTCTTAATATTTTTGTAAGATGTCAACCCAAGGATATCTATTACATTTTATAGATCTTGCTTTTTAATTTTGACAAGTCAATTGATAGATAATATTTGAGTGAGAAAGAAATACGACATGCCCTGGCCACTGGGGCTCAGTGGTTAGAGTATTAGTCCCCACACACTAGAGGGTTGCTGGTACCATTCCAGGCAAGGGCATGCACCAGAGTTGCAAATCTGTTCCCTGTCCCAGTTAGGGCATTTGGGATCCAACCAGGTGGTGTATCTCACATGGATCTTGCTCTCTCTCTCTCTCTCCTCCCTTCCCTCCCTTCTACTCTGTCTAAAAATCAGTGGGAAAAAAAATAAAAATAAAAATCAGTGGAAAAATATCCTTCAATGAGGATTAACAAAAGAAATATGATAAGATTAAAAACTACATCTAAATATTTTTTGAATTTTTATTATTTTTAAAAAATATTTTTATTGATTTCATAGAGGCAGGGTAAGGGAAAGAGAGACAGAAACATCAATAATGAGAGAGAATCATTGATTGGCTGCCTCTTGCACACCCCTTTCTGAGGATCATGCCTGCAATCCAGGCATGTGTCCTTGACAGGAATTGAACCTGGGACCCTCCAGTCCACAGGCTGATGTTCTATCCACTGAGCCAAACCAGCTAGTGCTATTTTTTGAATTTTTAAAGTAATTTTTAAATTTTTTTTTATTATAGTTGCCATACAATGTTAGTTTTGAGTATACAACCCAGTGGTTAGACATTTATATAACTTATGAGGGATCACCCTGATAATTCTAGTACACATCTGACACCATACATACTTATTACAATATTAATGACTATATTTTCTATGCTGTACTTTACATCCCCAGGACTATTTTGTAATTACCAATTTGTACTTAATCCTTTCACCTTTTCACCCAACTCCCTCTCCCATCTGGCAACTGTCAAAATGTTCTCTGTATCTATGAGTCTGTTTCTGTTCTGCTTGTTTATTTTATTTTTTAGATTCCATATTTAAGTGAAATCATATGGCATTTGTCTTTCTCTGACTTATTTTACTCATCACAATACGCTCCAAGTCAGTGGTTTTCAACCAGTGTACCATCGCTCACAACTGGGTGCTGCAAAACATTTAAAAACATGCAGGGGCACTGACCTCTCTTCCCCTATATTATCAAATAAAATAATAAAAGTCAATAGCCAACACAGTAGTTGTCTAGTGTAATGTGCTGTCTTGAACCATAAATATATAGGTCATATAGAGTTGCATCTTATTGGTTATGTTGCATAATAAGGTTGTTTCTGATTGGTTAATTCTTGGTACCAGAAATTCTTATATACAATTATAGGCACTTGTTTTTTTTAAAAAGTCACTTTGGAGTAAAAAAGTTGTTAATCACTATTATTTTTGTTTTTTGTTTTTGGTAAATCCATCAAAAGTATACCTATTTTTTTTTTTGTCAAATCAGCAAAAAATATTTTTGATGTTCCACAGAATTCTATTAATTGGTTTATGTGTGCCATGAGATGAAAAAGGTTGAAAATCACTGCTCTGGGTCCACCTTTGTATAATAATAAAAGTGTAATGTGCTAATACACCTCTCACTTGAGTATTATTTTTATGGAGTTTCCAAGAACCTTAGACACTGAGTAACATGTACTACTTCTTTATCCATGTATCTACTGATGGACACTTAGGTTGCTTCCATATCATGCTATTGAAAATTAGTGGACTGGTGCACGGGGTGCTGAGAAGGGGTCCCTCAGCCCAGCCTGCACCTTCTCCAATTAGGGATCTCTTTGCGGATGAACAACTGCCATTTTAGGCCCGATCCCACAATAAACTGGCAGTCAGACATCCCTCTCGCAATCTGGGACCGCTGGCTCCTAACCACTCACCTGCCTACTTGCCTGGGGTGCATAGGATATGAGGG